CGAGACTCGCAATCTCGGCGTCCGCCTCCATTTTGCCACGCTCTCCATCTTCCGACAGGGCTGCAAGGACGTGGACCGGGTATTTGATGCTGCCGAACATCCTAAGCAGCTGTTCTACCTTTGCTACAAACCCCGGCGCATTACGCTTGTACTCCGCCGCCCCTGAACCGATGCCCTCATCGCCTGAATCTTCGTCGCTCCCGCCGTCTAAGTTGAGGGGGGAGCTGCTTCCACAACCACTGCCCATGACACCCAACCCAACGATATGCGTATGCACGCATTTGCCGCTAGAGCCTTTCTTGGACGAGGTGCACCCCGTCCCCCCATTCGCCTATGATCATAGCCAAGTGACGGGCGCCAGGGGGTAGATAGTTGGTGGGACACAGGTTTGTTGCGTGAAAACAGTCAATGCTACGTGCTATGATGTACACCATCTTGAAAGCACCGAAAGTATCATTCGCTGCTACTTTGCCTTTCCGACCAGCTATCCTCAGGGGAAAATACTGTACGTCAGGTAAACCACGATATTTACCATCCGAGCTAGACAACACAGGCACCGATATTGCTGGCGTGGTTTGCACAACGAATTTCAAGGTTGGGGCGGGAAAACATACACAGCAGAAGCGCTCTAGAGCTCCGAATAAAAAATAGTCATGCATCGGCAGTAGTAGACTATCACCTTGCACTGGATCTGCTTCCTTTCAGTGGTCCGCCTTCTCGTTGATGGCGCTTTCTTCGACCCGGGTGGTTGCGGGAAATCCGTCTCGACGTGTGCCCAGCTGCCAGGAATAGACCGATGACCCGGATGGTACACAACATACGTCTGAGTCTCGCCTAAGCGCATCAACAGCGGCACCCCATGCTCCTCTGCAGTCGCTGCCATCCTTAGAATGGTGTCAAAGCTACCCTGAGTCAAAACCATGAGTCAAAACCATCTGGGTTATCGCTGCATCCCCAACGCTTTCGATCCCTTCCCCATCCTTGCCAAAGACAACCGGCTCTGCTTCAGGAATATCCGCCTTCGGAGTGGTCCCATCTCCGAGAATGACGTCAGCGTGCTCACATTGGCCCGCTGCAACCTGCTCGGCGTTTGGCGCGTGCTCGGGTTCCGCTTGCACACTGCAAAACCAAACGAAAGCAACCGTGAAAGTGACAGTGCATCGTCAGAAAAAAATATATATGCCGATTAATTTCTGATAAATTTAGCGAGCAGCAACTGTCGAAAAATAAAATGAGAATGCAGAACGGCCGGGCCCCTACCTGTGCCCTGCAAATGTCTTTCTTTTCCAAACGAGTTATACAAGCGTTGGGTTGCAACAATAACGTGTAGTTTCGATCGGAGATTTGCCGGTGAGAAGGAAGAGTATCGAACACCACACAAGCACTGTTGTTTCGTGACATCCCCCAACTACTACATCGACTCACTTGTGGCATCGGTTATCGCAGCAGTTCACGATGCAGCTTGCAGGCGCACCAGGTTGCTCGGCGGTGACGTCGGTGATGACCATGACACGGTCGCCGCGGGCGGTAGTGGAGACCGAAAACAGTGCCTTTTGTCTATCTCTAGAGTTGCGCGCCGCCACCGTGAGAGGCAGACGGAGCTTGAAAGCGCTGGTTCGAGCCTGGCGGTGAATCACTCGGGACACGCTACTCCCGTGGATGTGGCCGGCTTGACCTCGTTGGGATGCCGCTCGCTTATCAGCTTTGTTCTTCTTGCACCTGTATGAGTACGAAGCATGTGATGGTGGGAAGAATAGAGGGGGGGGGAAATGAGTATACGTACAGCACGCACGCTGAGAGCAGGTCGTATTGTGGACGCTCCGGTCTTGGTCGCACTGCGAGAGGGTGAAGACATAACAAACACCGATGGTCAAGCAACCAGAAAAGTTGGAGTCGATACAGATCACCAGCAACATTCCCGGAGTAACTAGGTGAAAACAGGTGACAGCCTACCAGGCTGCGCGAGCGCTGTGGAAGTCAAGATATTGTTGCATATTCCTCTCAAACAAACCACATGGGTGGCATCGAATCGGGTGACACCCACGTGTGCGAGAAGCATCCGAGAACTCGATTTGGCACATCACTCTTGGTCATATAATTAAAGAGAATTGCAATTGAACAAAGAAACTGAACAGCGGAAAACGATATTGGGTACTCACGCGTGACACAGACATGCCGACTTCGTCTTCGTATCGCAGAAGCAGCAAATGAAGCGATCCTTGGTAAGGTCGACCAGCCCATGGTCGACGTGGCAATGCCATCGTTTGAGACACCCACGACAAATCGAAGTAACTGTCTTGCTTTTCGAACAGCACCAGCTGCGCTTCGCCAACGTAGCATTAGCAGGCACGATGACAGGGACGGGCTTTCCGCTGGAGGCATCCTTTGCTCCCCCCCCCCCCCCCTCGTCTTCCTCCTCATGACCGCCTGTCCCTGAGCCATGCGGTGCGCCATGCTGCAAAACCAGATGTAAACCATGGCCGTTCAGGGCGTCACCGACGATGCCACCTGCCGTCCTCTGCTGCACAGGCAACGGCAGCGGCGGAAGTGGCTGACGTACCCGTCTATCCCGCTGCGGCTGTAACACCGCCCCGCCAGCTGCGCCCTGCTGCGCCATCAAAAGCCGTGGCGGCGGCCGGGGCGGCGGCCATACCCCTCCAAAGCAACCGGCGGCTGACAGCTGTTGCTGTTGCTGCTGTTGCTGCTGCTGCTGCTGCTGCTGCTGCTGCGGTCGCCACCGCACTTCGTTGGCTAGGCGCTGCCATGGTGGCAACATTGCTCCAAGTTGGCGTGAGCGTTCATAGTTTAGCTGCGCTACTCCCTCTACCTCCGAATGTAGTATTATAGTGGTGCACTCGGCCCGTGCGTACCGGTAGAGCAGTATCCCGGTCCCGTATGTACCCCAATGGCAGACGAAAGGGGCGTATGTGGTTCCGCGAATTCGAAACCATCACCTGATAGCTCCCCTGGCGTCCCCAAGGCCTCCGATGCTTGGGACATCTGCACAGCTGTAGCAAGGAACGAGTGCAGCACCCTGCCGCGACGTTCACCGGCCCCGAAGCCCTCGCATGAATTTCTTGCATCTCGTCCCAAACTCCCCCGGGATGATGGGCTTTGCGACGCGTGGCGTTTCGCTGGTGGTGATTCACGTCCACTCACACTTCTGCAAGCCTCTCCGATAGCCGCAGGAGTGTCGCAAGGAAATGTGTTCGCGACGGTGGCTACACCGCCAGGCGCGCCGCTGACCGACAGATGGGAATTGCCCGACGGCTCGCTACCGGAAGAGGTCGCTGTCCGTTCTCGAGGAGGGTTTTGCTGCAAGAAGTTGGAACTCTCTCCAGTGTTCGCGCATGGGGCTGCGGGCAAGGGGTGCGACAACGGCTTGTGCTGGCGACCAGCCGCACCATCCACGCAGTCATCCGCGCCTGCATCATGATCAGCATCATGATGCGCGCCGCCAGCAGAGCCCGTGCTCGGCAGCATGCCGCTCACCTCCTTGCATCAACGACTGACCGCTGCTGTGGTGGCCAACGGTGGAAGCCACGCTATGCAATGCCTCCCTCTAGAGGCTACGTGTCGATAAGGTAGCACGGCCGCCCTGTCCGTCCTTCACAGCACGCGCACCTCGTGCGCGGCGTGCGGAGAAATGTAGCTAGCTACAGCGCCGGGGTTTCCCCACCCCAGGAGAGCTTTGTGAATAGAACCAAAAAGAGGTTCACCGAGGGAGCGCGCGCACGCGCATCTCCAACCAATGAGGAGACAGTAAATTTAGAAGTAAAGATCCCTTCGCACGGATGGTAAAATGTACTGGCTCGCTGAGCGATATGGATGTTCTCCTCTAGAACTACAAATATTATTATTTTTTTTTTCTGTGGGACTTGTGTCTCCTGAACCAACACGCCTCCTTTCGTGTCTGTCTGTAACGTCCATAAGTCAGCCGGAGAATCAAGGAATAATAAAAACACACACAGAAAGACTACCCATTCGAGATATACCCAGAGTAATTCTCCTCCGACTGGACGCATCCACGTCATTGTCATCAGTGACGTCATTGTCATCAGTGAGGAGGAACTTCGGTTCATGATCTTGATGGCCGACGGCTCTGTCCGCCCTCGCCCCTCTCAGCTCACTTCCTTTCAGTACCTCTGTCTCTGGTTCCACCAGACGTGTCCGACTGTCCACGTGATTCTACACGTGCCCCGCTTTCATCGTCGTTGCTCTACATGAGGACAACTTGCTCGTCGCAAGAGTAGAGAGCTCGTAACTCTCCATCGACTGCTGTGGCGCTCTAGACTAGACAAACACCACATTTCCGTCTAATTTTAGTTACTGTTTCTTTGACGAATATTTCGTTCTTGAAAACACACACACTTGCGGGACCCTTCATCACAGACGAAAGACCGGCTCGCTCCGCGTTGTTGAAGGACACAGCAGTCACAGTCCCGGGCAAGCGGTCAAGTGGTTTGTCCCCTGTTAAGGGGAGCCCTGAATAATAATAGCGGTTGTACAAACCGCTCGCCGCGGTGGTCTAGTTGGTATCCTCGAAACCTTCCAAAGGTCAGTCAGGTCAGGGGATCGAATCCCGGCGTAAGGGAGCTTTTCTTGCAAAGTGAGTTTCTCCCTCGCTTCCGCTGCTGGCCTAGTGGATGGCGCTAGTTCTTTTGTGTACACAGAGGGAAGAGAGTGCTAAACTCTTCTGGCATTAAAAAATCGAAGGCAAACCGCAGGAGGGGAGGGTAGAGAGGAGCTCTTCTGTGTGAGCACGGGTTCGGAAGAAACCACACTGAATAGTGCTGTGAGCGCTGATTTGAAGTCAAGACAGAACAAAAAAAAAATCTCGTGGCACAGTAGTTTCACCTCGGTACATTGTTAACTTACTCACTACGAAGTACACAAGAACAACCGCCAATGATCCGGTATAGCGGCGATGCAAAACCGCGACCGCGACTGCTGTACTGCTGTTGATTGATAGACACGCGTATGGACGGCTACCACATGCTACTGCTGTAAATGGAGGATACGGCTATCGTGGACTTTGGCGGTACATGTGCATATATTATATCTGCGGACCGGCACGCGAGGGCTGAGGGCTGCCTCGCTTGCTTCCAACCCTAGCGTAAACCTACCTGCAGATGAGTACCCCCGTCAACCAATGCCCGAGCATCAAATCATTCACATAGCATATATAACGGCAGGCGGCGGGCGCGCCGCAGCAGCTACAGCAGCAGCAGCAGCAGCAGCAGCAGCGAGGACGAGAAGCAATGAATCCCCTCCCCGATGTACCATAAAGCAGCACAAACGCGACATTCAAGCAGAACTGACGTTAATTGTCATATGAACGCCAGGCATCGCATTCGGGTGGGTAGGTGTGGAGCTCGCGGTCACCAAGGGCAATCCATCCATCCCCTGATGAGGAATAAATACCACGGTTGGAGAATGGGGGCAGCCGGATTTCAAATCCCAGAGATGCAACAACATCACATTACCATCTATTGGATATGCGCAAGCAGCAGTCTTCCACATTCCACACACACACACACAAGGCCCGAAGAACCAATGGGCGTGTGCCTGGCCAACGTGGCAGCATGGAAGATTCATCGCTACATAATTCATCTCTTCTTTCGATTTCCTGCTTTTGTTAGCATCCCGTGGGGACGCGGAGAAACATCGCCACCACCACCACCGAATCATCACCCAGCGATTGCACGAGTTTCCCGCTCATGCGGCAACCAGGCATGCTCTCGACTGCTGTCGTTCGCGGAGCGGTGAAAAAGGCAGACCTCCAACTCTCAGGCCGAGGGCGCACGCCAGAGGGGGATTGCAGCGGCACAATCCTAATTTTTCACAAGGGACTCTTGTTCTCGGATCTGATTCTGATTGGCAGTTTGATGTGTGTGTGTCGTCCCCCCCGTAGTCTCTTTCGGCACAACGGCACACACCTCAGTTTCGAAGGTAGCGTGCGCCGATCGCCTCCGGCCCGTTGCCGGCCCAGCGGTGGCGGGCGTAAAGAGGTGTTGCGATCCGCTTGGTCGCCCGCGCCGCTTGAGCTGGCCTGCCCTGACCTTTGCCCACCGGGAGCTGCAACTGCTTTCTTCCCAGATTCGCTTGCGACGCTCCACAACGCGTTGGCCACCAGAACGGTCTTGAGCAGGGTCGCGGCGAAGATCACCCACAGCACTGCCTCCACGACTCGCTCGTGACTCATCGCCGCCGGGGTTGCCACGGTCCAACACGCAGAGCTCGCCGCGCCTCTCTTCTCGGGTGTACAGAGAGTGTCGGAGGAGCAGCCTTTCTCTGATGCTTTGGCTGGGGGTATGAATAGAGAATGGTATCCATATGTAGAATACTTCGCCTTGCTGTTGCGTTCCCACGAGCATAGTACCAGGACTTGGTAGTAATACTTTTTTTTTATTTGACCCAACGAATCCATCTCTATCTGAGAGTCTAAGATAGATTATTAGCAATTAATCCATATAGCGTCAGAGGAAGGCTACCTGTATTTCCACGATTTCCCGCACACAGCGACATCTCCCCTGTGGGTAACAGGCTCAACAAGACAGTTTGGAACCGTCTTGTGTATCTCTCCGCATGCTGGAAAGGTGTAGAAGGAAGATGGTACGTATGTTGGTTTGTCGGGTTATTATTGTTGTTATTTTTATTTCCGACAGCGGTTGTTCTATTCCGCCGCCGACGGGGATCGTCCAACAATCTACGGACCTACGGACCGCAGATTGTTGGACGATAGGTCCGTAGATTGTTGGACGATCCCCGTCGGTCTACGGAGACACCCTGTACATAACCAGCAAGTGTTTACAGGCAGTTGACAGCGCCGTGGTGGTCCCTGTGTCCATGAACACATACAGCTTGTTCAACTTTGCCGAAGTTTGCATACAGCAGTTCAAGAGTACAAGAGAAGCCTTCTCATCGGACCCATGTTGGATGCCATCAGCGGTCGCCAGACTTGAGTACAGGCGCTACACTTGAACATTGAAGCCCAACTTTGTATAGCCTCGAATATCAGCCCCTCTGCCAGGACTTTTGTTGCAGTAATTTACGTACGAGCCCAGACATTACTGCTGCATGTATGTACCCGTGTATATGGAGCTGCTCCATATATATTATGCATATGCATACAAGGCTTTCGGCGGCTTACGCCGCCACGCTGAGAGAAGCGTACCGCAAGACGCATGTTCTTGGCATCTGGTAAACGATGGTATGCGGTGGCTGTGAGATTCCCAGCAGTTTGTTCCCGCAGTATGCAGATGTGAGAAATGATGTACCATTTTTGTTGACAATGTACTTCTCGTTGTAGTCCAGGTACGTGAGGGAATCGAAGTCGGACTCGGTAGGTCTTCCAAAGTACAGCATGAGGTCGGATTTGGTCTGTTCGGCTTCCGACTTCTGTTCGGCACGTGTAAGAGTTTGATCGACAATGACGTGTTGTTCATCGGGAAGGTGCAAGCGAAGGGACGTGACGGAAGGGTGGCGCTCCATGATGTGGAAACCAAGTAATCGCCACGCAGCCTCTGCCGCTGACACGTATCTTCTTGCCGATCGGTAAGCTTCAATTTCGTCAGGGTGTGTCTTATCAGGCCGCAAAAATTCGTAACTTTTTTCACCGAATAGTAACTTTTTTCACGGAACCGTAACTAGGGTTTCCAGTGGTTCTTATCGGCAGAAGGCGCGAAGGCGCGTATTTTTTCAAAAATTACGGAAAGCGCCACGGCTCGACGTACACACACCGGTCCCGACCAGGCGAGAGACCCGAGGACTCCCACAACAGACGTTATACACCCACACCATGAACAACAACGCCGTAGCAGTGGCAGGCCGGCCATCAAGAACGAAAACGGTGCCTCTGCGACTGCAGGGTGGAGGTGAAAGTGGTGCAGCTGCTGGGCATGGTGTTGCCCAGATAGATCACGCCTGCTGGCGCCGTACAGCTCCAGCCGGCACCGAGCGGCATGGTCCGCCAGGCCGTCCACAGCAGGGTTACCCCCCATACCGATACACAACAGGGGGTGCCACCTGGCGCGGGGCTGATGCCGGGCTTCATGGACGGTGAAGGTGCTAAAGCTCGTCAGGTGGCCATAAGAAAGATTCTCGACGACAAGCAGTTTGGCGAAGACCCAGGGAAGAATTGGAGCGAATCGGAGAGCAGCGACGACGACAACGGGAAGGACGCTCCGATGTCAAGTGGCAGCAGCAATAATGTGTCGGTAGAGGAGAGTACAGCTCCGTCGGACATAGGCTCACAGGAGTCCGGAGATGTCGAGTCCGGAGATGTCGAGTCCGGAGATATCGTGTTCGCAAAGGAAATACGGGAAGCAACATTCGGGGGAGGGGGAGCGGGCAGAAAAAAAAACCATGGCAAGCGGAAGGCGAGCGCCGGCGGCAGCGCCGTAGGGAACATGAACTCAACAAAGGCAAGCCTAGTAGCGAGTGCCAAGAAAGCCCGGGGCAAGGACTACCCGCTCTGGGCCGCACATCTGCTGAGGAGGACATGCGCGCACCGCAAGATCCCGAGGATGTCGAAGGAGGGCGACAAGCATGTCCTGGTGCAGGCCCTCCGATCTCACGACGGCAACATGAACCGGCCATGTCCGTACTATGACGACCTCAATGCTATCACAGCCGGTGAGATGCTGGTATTGTGTAGATTCGTCGTCGATGAGAGTCACAGCAGACGGCACAGAGTATTGAGTAAAAGTATAGGTAAGTATGCTGCAGTCGAACGCAGTGTGCGTAAAGGTTACAAAACAAAATTACTGCTTTGTGTGTATTATGTAGAATGCCCGCTTCAAATCGACCTGTTCGTACAGTAGAAGGTACGGCATGCTCGAGAGCTGTTTTATTTGCCCCAGTAAGTGGGAAAATGAAGGCACGCACAGCGTACTACCAGGCATGCTTTGTCGACGACAACTGGTGGTGCACGGACCTAAACGCATAAGCTTTGTGTGTTCTGTCCTCTCACGCTCAGAGGAATGTCTAGAGTTGAACGATTTTTTGTGGAGTACAGCATGAGGAATATGTAGTTTTGCTCCGGTTGGGGGTGTACACCCGAGGCGTCCTCTCATGCGAAGGCTTATTCGTTGTGTGGGCCGCTTTCTCCTATCCCTAATGTTCGCGCAGGCAAATCTGGACGCAGAAACGGGGAGGAGGACGAGGAGGAGGGAGCCATTCCTGCCAAAGCACTCCTTACGTTTCGAAATGTTGTCGGGATGGTCGCCATAGCACGTGACAGTAACGTGCCGTTTCAAGTCGATAATGTGGAGTACAGTGTGGCGGACCTTTACGACGCCCTGGCCAAGGAAGACGAAGCGGGAAAGGGGGATTCTGCGGGCGGGAGTACTCCCACTGGTGGTTCATCGACGGGTGGTGCAGCCGGACCGGACGGGGATGGTTCCGTCGGAGGGAGCGGCAGCAACACGGAGCGCAAGGGCCCACACTGCATGATGCGGCTCGTTGGGATCCTGTGCGAAGACGCCATCCGCCCACTTCTCATAGAGAGCCGCTTGCAGGCGACCCGGCAGGACCTGGACACCTCATCAGTCGGGCCGCGGAACGAATTGTGGACATAGGTCACCGCGCGCTTCCGAGACCCTGACCACCAGGTACACGGTCATGGGTAGGGGGATTGATTAGGACGGATCGGCCGAGAACGTTGTATATAGACAGCAGTCGAAGTGTATGTTGACACGCATGCCTTTTTTTTGTGGTCATTTTACCCATCGTACTCAACACCTCATGACGTCCACGGACGATCGCTGTTGTTTTAGGTAAAAAGCCATGAGGTATCCACCCCCAAGAGCGGGTCAACCTGCTGTTGACGTACACCGATAACTTATGGTGTTGTTACTGACGCCGACGACGATCATACTGCTGTAGTTGCTTCGAAACCTTCACCTATTGGTGGAAGACGTAGAAAACGCGCAGAAGAATTCCACAGGAGTGCATAGCCAAACAATATTACACGACAGAAAAAAATAACACTGCAGAAGCAACGCTAAAATACAGGCCGGGATCAGGCAGACAGTACTAAGCTTCCCGCGAGAGGTGCATTCCCCGTTCGGTATGTTGTTTTTCTTCGTATCAAAATCGTGTTAAATTCCTCGCACGCCCGGGCGGTACTCTATGTAAGTTTTTTTAAAGAACACGTGTATGATCTGCGCTGCCCGCTCCCTCGCTCTCTCGCTCTCTCGCTGTATGCATGCCCCATATATGGGTGATGATGTGGACGTTTTTAAGGTGAGAAAAATCGTGGACGACGAGCAAGTGTCTCACGTCGACCCGAACATCATCCAGCAACCAAACATCTCGGCGGAGAAGCTTTCCAGGATGTGGGCTACGGCAAAGGCGAAGTGGAACCAGCCTTATGCCAACTGGAAGAGTGAATCCGGCAACAACCAGCCATGGCTTTCATTTTGTCAAGGTAAGGGATGGGTGGAATGGGGCCTTGTATAAAATAGCGTATGTTTGCTCGAGGAACCTTGGGCGATTTTGTGGTCGTGGCATAAATTCCGCCCATCCTTCACAGCGTGCAAGTGCTGCTACGGTCGGAGTTTTGATGTGATACTTGGAGTTATCGACAGTGTTGTAAAACGTGCTCCAGGGATGACGTTGGCATTGAGGCCTGATGGTGTATTTTGAAGCACGACGAAAGACCATACCAATTGGTCCAAAAAAAACTCCCGCCCACGCCTTGCATTTTGTTTTTTTACAGGGTGCACGGACACGTATGTTCTCGGTTGCGCAATCGAGAAATACCCCGAGCTGAACCAAGTGTGCAACAATCTCCTCCCCGAGGGCGCTCAGCGAGAGGACGACGGGACCGGAGAGGGCATTGTCGGCACAGGCGGTGCCGACCGCCGGGCGGCCGCCAAGCGGGAGGGCGCCAGGCTCCACGAGCAGAACAGGCGGGGAAAAAAGCAAAAAAAAAAGGGGGTGGGGCAAAGCGTGGCAGAGGCTACGTCCGCTGCCATGAAAACCGCAATCAAAGATATGGAGCCACTGCTGGAAAAGGTTGGCGGATCAGAAAAATCAGAGTGGTACAAAAAAAAAGAGGAACACGCTTGCAAGACTGCTGAACACGACAGCAAGGCTTCTGGCCTCGCCCTCCAGAAGGAAATGACCGAGTCCCACGCCGAATTCTCGAAGAAAATTGTGGAGGAGGAGAAAGAAAAAGAAGAGGGTTATCAGACGAGA